AGAGAGAGAGAAGAGTAGAGTAGGGGTGGGGTGGGGTGGAGGAAGATAGAGGGAGGGGCAAGAAAAGAAGAAGGAACGAGGGTAAGAGGAAGAGAAAAGTTCACTTAGCAAGAGCAAGAGCGTGCACGTGTGTTTGTGAGAGTGTGCACAAACATACTATTACCTACGTGTGCGCTTGCGAGTCCGTGTGAATGTATTATGTACCTACGGTGTGCGTATGTGCGCGTGCACATGTGTGAGAGCGCGCGTGTGTGCGTGTGGGCATACATGTGTTTCTACGAGCCAGGAGCACACATCTAACAGTGATAACTATGGGTGACACGGCGATTTATTTACACCACACGTGTTTTATAGTAATATTATTATTAATGGCAATGACAGGAGAACAAATATAATAATACAGAATTAGCACTTGTACAATATAACATATCGATCGAACATTGCATTGTGGAATACATGCATTCGCCTGCATGCAAAATTCGGCAGCCACGCGTGCATGCCACACCCCACTATTCACCCCTCCCCCTGTCCTGCCCCGACCCCAATAACATCCCGGGTAGCACTGCAACAACCCCTCCCCTCCCCCTCCTGCCTTTCCCTCAAGAGTCGAGACGTCCTCTAAATATAAAATCTACCGCCAAGTTCTTGATGATAAAGGAACGCGCAGCAAAATATCGCTTCCGACGAATTCCGATTCGAACAAATTCCAATTCCGGTGAATTCCGACTACGTTGAACTACACGCAGCGAGAGAATATCAACTGCCGACATTCAGATATTTTAAAGGAACATGGCGCTGAATTGTTGAAGACACCCACTGGTCTTCTTCTGCTAAAGGGATGTGGTACCCATTTATTTGTTAAAGGTACATTGTAATTGGCTGCTTGTAAACTGTACAAATACGTCTTGTGCAACTCTGCACTGAGAGTTCAATACTAGATTGCAACCAGCACCTTCTGCTACGATATACATACGCCGTCCACATACACTGCAGACACGCAACCACCGCGCCCCGATCGAGTGCATATAAAAAGTTAGGCCTATCAAAGTTTACTAATTACATAAAAACCGCGCATTTTTTAATAATTTTTACATTTTCTAAAATTACCTAGGCTATTCCCCGCGCGACGGATATTTACAACGTACGCCCGCGCGCCCGCGTCAACGCACGAACGTTGGTCGCGTTCGGTCGGTACGATGTCGTCGGCACCATCGAACCACGCGAGCGAGCGAGCGAGCTCTTGTCTAAAGTGAAAGTTCTGCACACAAACGTCGCCGCCGCCGCCGCCGCAGCAGCTCCCCTGTAAACACACAGTAACGCACGGGCGACGGGTGGGTGGGAATCGTCATGTTGCGATCGTCGTCACAATGATGCGTCGCCGTGTGATAACTTGACGGCCGCGTGTGCAGCTCATACGTGTGCGTGATAACAAGTTCCATGTTAAAAACAATTTCGTCACTTCGTCACTTCGTCACCTCACTTCCTCACGCTGCTAGTTCGTAACGACGCGTCTGTATCCATGGCAACACTCCCACATCCGCTACGATAATCGTGCGAGCAGCTGACACAGATCACGTAACCACGACGACGAACGCGTCGCACAATAACACTGCAGCCCCGTATCCACGACGACGAACATGTCGCACAATCACGCTGCAGCCCCGTATCCACGACGACGAACATGTCGCACAATCACGCTGCAGCCCCGTATCCACGACGACGAACAACTGGCTGCGTATATTGTCACAGGATCGTAGCTCAGTTGCCGCGCAGCCGTCTCGGCCGCCAGGGGGGCGCTACTGTATGTCGAGCACGGGCGTTTCCGATCGGCTAGACTCGCTGTCGCTATAGTCGTCGTCGTCATGGTCGCTGGGCGTGTCCGTGTCCGTGCGGGAAAAAGACGATCCCTGTGAGAAGGAAGCATCCGCCGACAACGCCGTCGCCATGGCAACCTCCGCGTCCGCCGCCGCATCCTGCCCGCCGAGGCCGAACGCTCCGCCGGCGCCCCCTGTTGTCAAGCCAGAGGGACCTACAGTCGGCGACAGATAGAGAGATGCCTGTCAGAGAATCACGTGGAGGGAAAACTATTGATCTCTTACTAACTCATTCATAATTTATCAAATACCATGCTTGGTAATTCATCTTCACGACGTAACATACTATCTAGAACTCTGCAAGAGTGCAAAAATGCTGCCGTCCGACAGTACACTACACAGGATATTCATAATATTACATACAGAAACGAGCACTCATGCACGCACATACGCACAGTACACATAATAATCGTATTATAACACACACAATCACTACACACGCGAAAATCACAACATAACACACACACAGACAGCGAGTACACCACACATGACAATCATAATACAACATACACAGACGCACACACACATGCACTAATGAATATATACGTACACACATACACACACGCACCCACGCATATGCACACTCACATACACATACACACACAGGGTGCTAAAATTAACGGGAGTCCAGCTGTCCAGAGTCAAATACTCCCTGATTTACTGTCGGACTCCCTGATTTGACATACTAACTACTTCGTTCCAAAGCACGGCCTCGCGGAATTACCGTATTTTTCAGCTAATGTCCAAAGAAAATTTGGCAGACGTGCAACCGCATGAATCTTAAAAATAAGCCCATGCGTTATTGTTAATATCTTAAATTTTGAACCTCAGACTGCAGACTGCCTCATTTTTCTGCGGACTCCCGTGTTCAAAAGTAAATTTCTAACCCTGCACACACACACACACACACACACACACGCGCACACACATGCGCACACACAACTCACCGGCTGAGATCGAGGAGCACAGGCTTCCCATCTTGCCGTCGGCCATCTGCGAGACGTAGTGCGAGAGAGCGGCGGGCACCATGGCGCGCGCGCGCCTCAGGTTGTCCGGGGTCACCTGCGCGCGGTCCAGGCCGAGCGCCATGTTCATTCGCTTCAGCACCTCGATGTCGTCGTGGATCTCGAACGTGTTGTCGAAGTTGAACAAATACTCGTACTTGTCGTTCGAAATCGAACAGTCGATCACCGTCCGCTTGCCCGTGCTGACGACGATGAACGGCAGGTAGATGGCGCTGTTGGGCGGCGGCAGGGCGCCGGCGGCGTGCTCCGACGCCGCGTTCTGAGCGACAAGGTTCTTGAAGGCCACCTGCTGGACGATCAGCTCCTGCAGCTGTTGGTTCTTGTAGCGGATTCGCTCGGTCCGCCTCTGTTTCTCCACGTCCAGATTGCTGCATTCCTGCGCCGAATTCGTCGGTAAGCCGAGCCACTTGATCTCCTTCTTCTCCTTCGAGATTATGTTCATCGCCATGAGTACATTGAGGGCATCGTAGACACGTCGACGGATGTTCTTCTGGTCGTACGCCTGGTCGGTCGGCGACATCGACCGGTGCGGGTCGCTGAATTCGGCCACCAGCTCGTCCGCTACCTCGTTGTACGACGTCGTGCCCTTGCGCTGAACCTTCTCGCAGACCTTCATCGAGAAGTGGCGCAGGCCCTTGCCGCCCTTGTCCGACTTCTTGCCGCGCTTGCCGCCGTCCGAGTAGTCCGGGTCGTGGAACTCGAGCGAGCGTTTGCGGATGAGGCTCGGGAACGCGGACGGAGACTCGACGGCGGCTGCCGGCGTCGACGGCGACGCCGGGAACCCCGCGGGCCACGTCGCCGCGCCCCCGCGCTGCGGCGTGCCGAGGATCATCGGAGAAGAGTTCTGCGGCTGCAGCGTGCGCACGTCGGCGACGCGCAGCGACGGCGACCGCAAGACGGCGCCGGCGGAGCGTGCGGGAACCAGGGGGCGCTGCTGCTGCTGCTTCGGCGGGCTTGCGAACGCGGCTTCGGACGTGAGCTGGCCGCTCGGGTCGACGATGCCGGCTTCCTTAGCGATGGGAAGAAGGCCGGAGTCTGTGTAGTACCTGATCATGTCATCGTTCACCTGCCAAAAGACAATGCGAGAGCGTGACATTATGGCTAACAGCAGGCTGCGGGCACTCAAGGCCAGCCATCGCTTTAGGATTTCCCCCCGGGAGTTGAAAGGGTTAGTTTTCCGGTACATCAACTGCGTGCGCCCAAGTCAAGCCATCGCTCTGGGATTTCTCCCCATAGCGGAAAGTCATAAAGAGCATAAATCGAATGTAAAACGACGTAACGCTGTCCCCCCTTTCCGGCTCCCCCTCACCACTGCCACGCCCAGTGAACAAAACTTACCAGGGAAGTGCGGCTTGATAGCTTCACAGTTCCGGGAATGGTGGCCATCGCGATGCTGCGTGCCGGTGACGAGGTTATCACCACCGTCCTAACGAGAAACATCGCAGCAAGTTAGGCACGCAAACGATGACGAGAAAGCTTATAATACAGTATATATATAGTCTCGGGCATCATTGTGTGCGATATGAGAGAGAACATAGTTGGTTGCCAGTTACCGAGTCCTGAACAAGAGGCACGTTTCTCCCCCAGCAAAATAATTCCTAAGTGCACAGAGCGAGATACAGAAATGAAAGTTACGACATAAATATCACTGCAATATGGCAAGGCATCTTCGCAGTGGACGAGTCGCACTGATGCACGTACACACTCCTTCACCACCAGGTCGTTCTTGTCACGTCAACGCTAAGACACGACCAAGAACACGCACGCACGCGCGCACTCACGTATGCACGCACCCATGCACGCACACTCCTTCACCACCAAGTCGTTCTTGACATGTCAACGCTAAGACACGACCAACCACACACCCACACACATGCGTGCACTCATGCACACATGCATGTACACGCACGCACTCATGCACGTCAGGTTTTTTAATCTGCCGCGTACTTTGGGTTGTACACCACATATTTTAAAGTGTTTTGCCCTGCAACCTACGAGTGCTTAACTAACATGAGGCCTTAAATTGGACCTCACCTTATCTCTCCTGATGTTTTCAATCACAGACCTAATACTCTCAAAGCAAAAATATTTTGTAAAAACCCGTGCATACATCATCACGATAACACCAATGATGGATAGTGAGCAGTGAACGCGGACGTGTGATGATGATGATGTCAATTACCTTCCTGTATGTGCAACGCCGGTCGAAACATCGGCGGGAACACTAGTCACTGTTCCGGACTCATCCACCCACAAATGAGAGACAGGAACCGAGTGCTGTGCCATTCTATCTGTCTGCGTCACCGCCACAGATGCTGCTCTCCGCATCCACTCCAGCGATTGTGCTCAGCAACACGGGGAATGAGAAACCTGCAGACAAACGCAAATCACGTCGGTGGTGTTGGGAAATACGAGATAATCAGGCTTGCCGATGTAGAGTCTAGAGATCCCATTTAGGAGCAGATAACGTGAAGACCACATGGCAGGGCTCGAATTAAGCGACGAGAAGGGCAAGGCAATTTTTGTAGGGCATGTCAGAAATCGCCTTGAATTTTCTCTAAAATGGAAGGGCACAGAGGCAATTTTAAAAGGCACCAAGGCAACTCTCAAAATTTGAGAAGGGCACAAAGGCACTTTTGTAAAATAAAGGAAAACTCATAACAAATTAGTACATCAACATCGTCTTGCTTTTAATGTACAAAACAATATGCCCCCATGTAAGCTTACACCGTAACACTGACCCCTGTACCCCCCTCTGCTAATAGAAGTACAGTAACAAGAAATTTTACATGCCCGCTATCAGGAGCGAATAATTATCCGATGCTGTTATTATTCCCTCCTGCGACTATCGGTTTTAAGCTCATCATTGCAACTACAGCACGCACGCGCACGTGTTATGTTGACTCGACTAAAAACGAAACTAGGGCAGTAGATTAAAGGGCACCGACGGCAATTACACAAAAGGGCAAGGCAGGTGACTGCCGTCGGTCGGGTTGGATTTTCAGGGGCAGTACGGCGATTGATGGGGGCATCGACGGCAATTGCCGTCGGTGCCGTCGGTTAATTCGAGCCCTGCCACAGAGTCATTCCGCCTTTCTTTCCTTTCCTAGCATTTACTGTCAACACTGTACTAGATTCTTCTGCGACTACTCCTGTACATCGTAAATACTGACAGCAAGGTGCAAATGCATGTTGCGTGTAAAAGATATTAAAGCATCTATTGCGAGAATTTTCCAGTGTTTTTCCCACTTTCATGATACCTACCGTTATTGCTTGAGTAACAGCAATTGTCTAGAGTAATGATAAAATGTCTTAGAACCTTCGTATTCACCAAATCCAATGAAATCATGCACGATTACAATTTTGCGTTCTGTTTCTGTTTACAGTTGCCATCTCTCGAATTTTCTCGCGGTAGCGCGAGACATCTATCACGGTGCAGCAATGCATACCACGCACCGTAGAAATCAGGTCAGAGTGTAAACACAGACATTCATACTAGCGTAACAGCAGTGTAGTACTAATGCCATGTAAAGTCTGTTATTAGAGAAGCTTGTGGATTGCCAATCAGATAGTAACACGGGAATGACAATGACATAAAGTGCTCTGAATTATTGACATAAAAACTCAATAATATTTACCAAACAGAATTGCACGTCCTTTTGTTTTAATTATGTTCGCTTGTTTGAGACGCCATTTGTGATTTTTGTTGAGTCGTGACACGATAAAATTTATTGCTGGTATGATGTGGTTAAATCAATTTTTCTATGCTATAACTGCATAAAATCTTGGTGTTTTGAATGTTGGTATAATCAGTGATATTTCCACTATCAGGTGAGACTATATTCAGCTATATTTCGTTTTCCTGAGCAAAAAAACTCGCAATACACGCTTTAAGTACCGGTACTGATGTAGTTTTTCTGTGTTCACCCACGCAACAGTTATACTATGATAATGAACCACTGACAAATATGCCTATTCCATATGTTGTCACCTGCATGCGAATATAGGAAACTGCGGCAGAGAAAGGTGGGGTTTCACTGAACACAAACTAGACTTGGAAACGTCTTTTTTTATCGCAACAGCATCTGGATCTGGATAGTTTACTGCGTAGCCCACGGTTACGTGCATAATAACGCAGGGACATTCCGTAAGGAATAAACGTCCAGGGCTATAGCTAGCCATGGGGTGTGACCTAATGGAGCATTAGCCTAGCTTGGGTAAAGCCAGGTAGTTAGCCTTTTAGCCGAATGGCACTGAGGGTGGTGACAGCCAGTTGTTTTTTTGCGCCATCAGTGGTTCTTTTACGTCCCCATTGGCCTTAGTATTACTATTACTGGAGACGGGACCGCCATTTTACGTGTAACGTGGGCACCCGAGCCACGGGAGATTCACAGTCTGCAATGTTGAGAGCCAGGTTTTTACACCTTGAGAAAATCACTGCCCCGGCCGGGTTTGAACTCACAGCCTTCAGTGGACAGTATACCACGTGGCCTTACCACTGGCACTGGGCCACGAAGGCCGCCGTAGCATGATATTATTAGAACTACGGATTTCCGCGTCACGCTAACTGATAGTGGACAAACGAAGACCCATATTGAGTCACTAAATGTATTAGCATCACGCCATCAGTAAAGGTGACGCCGATTGCTGAACTCCCAGGCAAGAATTAAATCAACCCTTGTCGAACTAGGGCCTACGTCCTAAGCACCTTCGAGACAAGACAAGTACATGTCGCTCTCCAAAGTATTTACCAATATTTTTACTTTTCAACTACTTAAAGTGAAATAGTAAAGTACCATCCTTCTAAAGAAGCTGTCAACGACACCTTCCGATCACGATTTCACTTATATTTAGTCGAATCTTCGTTTCGACTGATTGAAAATGGTGGACAAAGACAGCTTTGCATGCTCATCTGTCACTAACGCTGTTCACTTTGAACCGGTGCGGCAAGTACTATGCGATAGAGACGCACTTTCCGAGTGGCAGCACCGTCCAAATAGTAAATAATCGCCTGCTAGAACCACAGAAATAGAATAGAATATTCTATCTATTCTTATATTCTATTTCTGTGGCTACAACTGAACTGCTTGTACAATATACAAACACATATGTGTTTGTATCTTTGATGATCCCCATATTGTGCCGTCTCTTGCCGCTATCTTGAATGTGAAAACAAATAGATAGGGGAGCAAAGGGAATGGAACTATTATGATGTGACGATTATGCACTATATTTTTCAAGAATGGTGATAGTTTTTTTTTTGCTATAAAGCAAGATCCTAAATAAAGACGGGTTGTATGTTTGCCTATAAACGCCCAGTTGAAAAACCCCGCCGAAAGAATACCAGCATTCATAACTTCATTTAGAGACTTGATGTTTGCTCCCACCTCGTGGTGTCATTTGGATCCTTGATATTTCGTCCTTGACTTACCACCAAGTGGTTCCAGTTTTGGAGATGGCATAATTAAATGTCCTGCAAATATAATCTATTGATTCCATCGAAAAAAAACTTTTAGACGACTCTAGACTATCGGCGCACGCTGGCTTGGATGAACTCATGATAGTATATAGGCTTATGCCCCGGGCTATGGCAACGCGCAGCGGCACACGAACGTACATGCACCTAACTAATATATACGGACACATATACTCGCTCACGTGCACACACGCGCGCACACACACTCACACACCCACAAACGCGCGCGTACGCACGAACGAGCACGCACGCACGTGCACAGAAATGCGTGCGCGCACGCACGTTTTTACCCACAAGACGACCATATCACACACACCACACCAGCACATCACACACACAACACACACACACACAACACACACAACACACACACACAACACACACAGCACACACACACACACACACACACACACACACACACACACACACACACACACATACATACATACATGTATACATACAACATATATAATGTTGTATTTAGGTTCAGGGAGTAGCGAATAATATCCAGGTAAAGGTAAATCGGGTTTTCAAAATTTAAAGTGCATATGACAGAATGCTTCACATTCAAATTTTCATTTAGACAGTTTCAAAACTTGAGCTGGTAAGATGTCCCAATTTTAAAGCATTGTGTGGGAATCGAGAATTTGTAAAGAAGCCTGCACAGGCTATACTGAAGTTTTTTTCTTGTATCTATTTTTTCTTCATGTTGCATATATGCACTGCTTTGTACTGTATCACTCAAAATTACCATTTTAACTGCCCAACACTATTGCACTTTTCAATACGTTTATATCTATACAAATGTGAGTGTGTGCGAAATATGTTATGGTTGTAATGTGGATATAATGGTGTACGAACCGAGTGTCGAAATGATGTGCTAAAAGGGTACTACTTGTACAAAATTTGATGAAGTTTTTTTTGTGTGTATTTAGTTTTTCTTCATGTTGTTCTGCACTGCTTTGTACTGTATTCACTCAGGAAACATCATTTCTACCTGCTAAACATTTACCGTAATCACTTTACTTGTACAGAATATGCTGAAGTTTTTTTCTCGTGTTTATTTTTTCTTCATTGTATATAGCACGTACTGTTTTGTATTGTATCACTCAGAAAGCTTCTATTTTTTATTTTTTTTATTTAACTGCTCAACACTTACCTTAATCACTTTACTTGTACATAATATGCTGAAGTTTTTTTTTGTATACATTTTTTCTTCATGCTGTATATCAACGTTTTGTACTGTATCACTGTATCACTCAGAAATTTTGGGGATCGTGGGTATATTTGCTATAGTTTATAGTATGTACAATGTTATGTTGGACCACAATGGAAATAAGTGTGTTAGCCACACTTTTTGTGTTTTCATCCTCGATAATCTTCTAGCTGCATTTTTTATATTTATGCTGTTATCGATGTAATGTATGCTTTGTTAATTATCGAAATAAATAAATTCAAAATCTAAATAATAGTTTCAAGGATAAAGTTTTAACATTGTAATCGTGAAGGAAAATGGGAGTTTTATATCGCTAGTGTACAAATGCGTGTTTCTATGCTGTATTACAAAGTAAGATCGACTTGGCAAATTCAGCATTAATAATTGTCGTCAGTAGAATGCAAATTAAGGACCGTGGTGTAAATAGTAATACGTGTGTTTGTCATACTTTTTGTGTATTTATCTTTAGCAGCTACCTAGCTGCATATATTTTATTTATGTACACATTGTTTGTAATGTATGCTTTGATAATTATTGATAGCTATGACTGCGACCATATTTATACGTGCATACTATATGTATGCATGTTTTTCTATGGCTGCGACAAACCTCAGCGACAAACGACATGGTCGTGGCTTCGGCGGCGGCGCCGATGACGACAGTTCTCGCGAGATATCTCGCGATTAATAAGTGCGCATGCTCACGGAGTAAAATTTATCCAGGTCGAATTTTGGAATATTTTCCTAAATATTTTAATTATTTTAGCCGTGTTAATTATGGTTATCTCCGTTTTTTCGAAGGTGTAGCGTTCAGCGGTTAACACAGTATTAATCCACATAACTCTAGTTTAGTAATAATTTTCCTAAATATAATTTTAAAGCAATGTTTTGGCGGGCTTGAATCATTCTAAGCAAACCCGAAACAGGAAGTCAACACGAGTAATTGGATCTTCTTATACTTGATAATTTTAATCGGGACCGATAGATTGAAGCGTGATGAGAATTACGTGATGATAGAGCGTAGTAATAATAACCGAGAGTAGATCATGTGTAATACTATTAGAACGTTACGGATATTAATTGCACAGATGCGTATCAAAACAAGTTGAACTTGTAGTTGTAGCCAGTAGCAGTCATCACAGCTGTTGACCGATGCATCGTTTGCCAATGTCGTTTTCTCATACGCAAGTGATGTAAAGATTCTTCAACCATAGATCATTCAGAGTTGTCAGTGTTGTGGAAAGACTCCCTTTTCGTGTTTTAAGGTTGCGTTTCTCCGGCTTTTCTCTCGCAGCAGTAATCGGACGATAGACCGAACACAAAATGCGGTCGCCCGACGTTCCACGATGAAGTCGACGTGGTGATCGCGCCACGATGAGAGATGAGACGCAGCAAACATGGCCAGCAGTGACGTCGCATCCGAGCGTCCCGTTGCAACGGTGACTGAAACCTCCGAGCGCGAGGTCTCGAGGGGAGTGGCCCGGCGAGGGAGGCAGGAGGGTGGGGAAGCCACGGCGAATGGCAGGCCGGCAGCAGCGCAGCAGCAGCAGCCGCGCTCTGCACCGCAGCTGAATCGGACGCTGCTGCCTGCGACCGCGCCCAGGATGGCGGCGCCACCGTCCTACACGGTGCACCACGTCCCTGGAGCGGCTGCCAACGTGTTCACCTCGCAGCTCGTGGCGTCGGGCGACTGCGCCGGCGCCACCACCTTCTCGTCCGGCTGCGTGCCGGCGGCGTCGGCGTTCCTGCGGAGTGGAGGCCACGCCACGTTCTTCGTCACGCAGAGCGGCGGCGGCGGCGCGGCGGCGGGCCAGCCGGCGACGTTTTGCGTGCCGGCGGTGTGCGCGGACGCCCCACAGGCGCCCGGCCGGCCTGTGCAGTTCACCTACGAGCAGAACATCATGCACCAGCGACCGACCCACCAGCGCCACCCGTCGCCGCCCTCGTCCAAGTTCGGCCGTCAGGGGGCGCCGGCGTGCCAGCGTGGAGCGATGCGTCCGCCGCCGCTGCTGCCGCGAATCATCGACGGCGGCAGCGGATTCCCGGACGCGGCGATGAGGACGCCCATGGCGTTTCCCTCGCACCTGATCGCTGCGGCGACCGCAGGGCCGCAGCCCATCTGTCGGCAGCCGCAGCCGCTGCTGCAGCAGCTGCCCTACGGGCCGTACGTCTCGGGCGGCGGCGGGCCACACGTGATGGGCGCCTCGCCCCTCACGGCCGCCCTGCCGCCCGGGTTCACCCTCGCCGGGGTCAGCGGCGGCGGGATGATCGGGTCGGACGCCGGCGTGATGCTGCGTCCGTCCGCAGTCGTCCAGAATCCCGTCGGATTCATGCAGGGCGCCCCCTACCAGACGCACGCGTGCAGCGGCGGCGCCCTCCCGATCGGCATTGACATCAACCCGGGTCACGTGACCCTGCAGGGGGCGCCAACATCGGTCGGCGTGCTGCTGCCGCACGGCAATGTGATAATCAGCCCGCCATCGATGATCGTCAACAATGAGTGCGTTGCCACGGCGATCAGCCCGGGCGTCGCCGCCTCGTCTAGTCACGTGACAATCGTGCAGCAGCAGCAGCAGTTGGACTCGGGAGCCGTCGCCCAGCTATCCCGCCATTTCGCCGGGGCGTGCGCGACGGTGGCACCACCCGTGCTGCACGCGTCTACGCAGGCGCCCTCTGCCAGCAACATCTTGGCGGCGCCGTCGTTCGGCGTTGCGTCGGATGCGCTCACGGTGGCGCCGCTTGCCTGCGCGAAGCTCGCGACGTCGGGCTGGGCAACGGCGGCGCCCCCTGCGTGCGTGACGGTGCCGTTGGGCTGGAAGCGACTGCTGATCAACAGCTCTGTGATCTACAGCAGGTGCGACGATGTTCTTGTGTTTTGCGGGCAACGTTCTTGTGTTTTGCGAGCGACGTTCTTGTGTTTTGCGAGCGACGAGCAATTAGTTAGCACGTTAGACATTTTATCGGCGTCGCCTTCAGTCACTCCTGCCATTTCCTGATCTTTCGCAATTGACATTCAGGGTTAGAAATTAACTTTTGAGCAAGGGAGTTCAACAAGAGGGAGTCCCTGTCCTTAAAAAGAGGGAGTCCGCAGCAAAACGAGGGAGTTCGTAGTCTAAAGTTCAAAATTAAAGATTTGGTGAAAAAATACGATAATTCCGCGAGGCCGTGCTCTGGAACGAACTAGTTATATATAGCAGAATTTTCAGGGGTCAAATCAGGGAG